TTTCGTGCTTCCCTCTGGCAGAGCTAGTCACGCTCTGGCAGGGTGGTGGGCTGAGACAGCTCACTCGCAAACGCTGCAGCTCTGGATCTCCACAGGGTTGGTAAGCACATGACAACCAAAACGGTTGTCACCAGTTCCTCCACACACATTCCTGACTGGGCAAACACTGTTTCCTGTCTTAAAGCAGGATGGAGGTCAAATATCTTGTTTGACCATGAGCAGGACCTCTAGCCATCAGGTGTCTCTCTTCCAGTCAGTGGAAGATCTGGGAGAGCGTTAGAGCAGGCAGCATGAATAGCATGCTCTAGCAAAAGCTTCGTTTGGTTTACACAGTCGGACTGAGGAGGGGTGGAAGAGCAAAAGAAAAGGAAATCCTGAGAAGACTTAACATTCTGAGAGGTTTGTTTTCTCTGTTTTCTATTGCAGACTTCCAGAATTTACTGAAAGTGAAAAACAAAGAATTAAAGGCACATACGACTACTTTGGTCTAAATCATTATACTACAGTTTTGACATACAACGTAAACTACCCTACTGGTATCCTGTCGTATGACTCTGACAGGTAAGAGAGAATGTAAATTATCAGTCAAAGGATGCACAGCTGGAGCCTGGGCCAACTGAGCAATGTAAACTGATAGCAGATAAAGCCGTGAGACAAGTATCTTAAGCTGCTATAACCAATAATAGGGAAAATATCCCCAAACAGTTGTCTGTGATACTGTTATTTTCACAGAAGTCCAGCAACATTTTTACAGACCTGTTGATAAACATTAATGTTTAAAAGAGCACAAAGAAAATTACAGGATCTAATAGAGGAAGGAATCTGCACTTGTGAGTTTCCTAATGGTTTTGGATCAGCCATAAACAGTATTTATCGTATTTCCTGCCCCCAATCTGCAGTTTGAGCTGCTAGACTACCCTGGTTTACAGATACTGCTCCATTTGTTGTTAAACAGTTGTAAGTTCCCTCACCACATGGGGTAAATGTAAGTGCAGTGCCTAAATAGCTAAATCACTTCATGTTAAAGTATACGTAAGTCAAGATTTTTATTTAGATACCAATTTCTTTCCCCAGCTTCAAAAGGTAAACAATAGGAGCGTACTGGTTTTTCTGAAGAGAATTAAGGTAGCGGTGGGACCACACACAGGGGTGAACATCAGCTGTTTTCTACATCATTTCCATAGAGAATATATGAAATTGTAACTTCCGTTCGCTGCTGCATCCCAGCCCCTGTGGTTTAGCCCCGCAGAATGACACCGGGCTCAGTCTTGCGTTGCTGGACGTAGGTGTAAATGGCAACTGTGTGTGCTCAAGCACTGCGTTCTGTGTTGAACGGCAGAAATGGTGTTAAAGGACAAGGATTTGGAGCTAACATCACATCCCCAGCTGTAGTTGATTTAAGCAGAATGTGATTGTAAAGCCAAGTATGAGAAGTGTTCTCGAGCGGCCTGTGAGCACCAGCATCACCTCTGGTTTGGTTTGCCGGAGCTCAGCACCGCGTTTCTCAGCCCGCAGCAGTGAGGTGCCAGGCACAGCTCCAGGCACAGGGACCAGTCCCTTGATCACCAGCATCACCTCTGGTTTGGTTTGCTGAAGCACAGCACTGCGTTTCTCAGCCCTGCAGCAGTGAGGTGCCAGGCACAGGGACCAGTCCTTTGATCGGTGTGTCTCCTCCGCAGGGGTGTAGCTTCCGTGACCGACCGCAGCTGGCTGAACTCCGGTTCCTTCTGGCTAAAGGTGACGCCCTTTGGTTTCCGAAAGCTCCTGAGATGGATAAAGAAAGAGTACAACAGCCCCCCGATTTACGTGACCGAAAACGGGATCTCGGAAAGGGGAGCCTTAGACTTCAACGACACTTGGCGAACACATTACTATCGGAGCTACATTAACGAAGCACTGAAAGGTAAGAGTGATTATTTAAATCTGCTCATTCAAACCTCTGGCAAGCAGCAGGGACTGATGTGTACGAAGCAAGTTGTGAAGAGCTGAAAGACCGCTGCCATCGGACTTGCACGTTGCACACCCGCACGGGCTTACTCTGTATCCACTTCTGAGAGCCTTTGGGTTTAGCAGAAACTGGCCATGAGTAGCCACAGTTTGCAGGGAAAGGTGACCTAAAGGAAGAACCAACCCTGGGTTTAGTAGGGTAACCGCAGCTTCCCTGTGCAGCTGCACCTGGCAGGAGAAGCACCTACTTTGGCTTCTAGTTCGACTGCTGCTGTGTCTGAAAACTGCGTCTTTAAAAAAACACCACCAAAAAACCCTCAACCCAAACTGGTTTCAGTTACAGCAGGGGCCGAGAAACATCGGGGAAGGGCTTTTTTCAGTTTGCTCTTCTGATGTACCGGGAGCTGCCAGCCAGCTATTCAGAATGTGCTGGTTTGCTGCCTTTAGCAGCAAGGCCCCACAAGCACTTGTTTAAACATGTTGATGGCTTTCCTTTCTATTGCTAAACCTTTGCTTATGGGACAAAAACTCTGATTTTTTTGGAGCAGAGAAAGGCAGTCTCCAGTGCTGGCAGGCTGAGCTACCCTGGCTGTAACTTGGGAGCTCAGCTACCCCGCAGCAATCGAGCTAGGGCAACGCGTGAGGGAGGTGGGAATGGGGAGACGGCAAAACCCGTAAGGCCGAGGGGGCGATAACCTCACCGCCCTTGGCACCCTGCTGCCCCCGTGGTGGTGCCTCCTGACACCCAGCTGCACAACCAACCTGTTCTCTCCGGTCCCGTGCCAGCCGTTGTGCTCGACGGCGTCGACTTACGAGGCTACACCGCGTGGACGCTGATGGACAACTTCGAGTGGGCAGTGGGCTTCGACGAAAGGTTTGGCTTCTACCACGTCAACATCACCGACCCTGGCTTGCCGCGGAGCCCCAAGGCCTCTGCCCGGCACTACTCACAGATCATAAGCTGCAACGGCTTTCCAGACCCAGCAACGGGCCCACATCCCTGCCTGGACCTGGATCCTGAAGGTAAGGAATGCAGCGGCAATCGTGCGTGTGTGTGTTCTAACCCCACAAGCTTTCCATGATCTGTGGGCTCTAGAGACACCACCACTTTCTGCAGTACTCTTTGTGAGGGCTCCAGCAGCACGCTGACTAGTCATCAGTCTGTCACGACTGAGGACGTGCACGTGGAATTATGTCATTTCTGCATGCAAAACCACAACTGTGACCAAATTCTGTGCAATAGCACCCCGATATGTGCCTGTCTCCAAAACGCAGCAACCGGCATTAGTGCGGGGTTTTTAAATAACAGTTTTTCATCAGCTCTTGGGGATGACCATGGCTGCTGGGGAATACTTGCCTCTCCTGGAGTCTTGAGTTACACTACCAGCCTGTTGTGCCTTTACTGGCACGGGTTGCCCAGAGAAGCTGTGGATGCCCCATCCCTGGAAGTGTTCAAGGCCAGGCTGGATGAGGCTTTGAGCAACCTGGTCTAGTGGAAGGTGTCCCTGCCCATGGCAGGGGGGTTGGAACTAGATGATCTTTAAGGTCCCTTCCAACCCAAACCTTCCTGTTATTCTATGATTCTAGTCTGAGCTGGAATTGGGTCGATGGCTGATCCACAAGAATTAGAGCTACTGCCAGCATACTGAATAGCAACCTTGAGAGCCTGGGAGAGGCAGGAAGCAGCAGGACACACACAGAGGGAGAGTTCACCCCAGGCTGGGTACTAACACCTTCTTCTTGTTTTCCCGTGAACAGTGACCCCAACAGACACCACCCCGGGACTGTCTGGCAGCGTGCGCTTTCTGGGATTAGATTTAACATCACAAAATGCAGAAGTAGCACTGTACGTGCTTTTTGCTCTTGCCGGAGTTGGAGTACTGGGCTTGGCTCTTCTTGCATATGGGTATGGAAAACTATCCAAAAGATCCCATAAACGGTCAGCCATGAAACATAGTAAACTGTAGCAAGTGGAAACTTTGAAGTGTTGTGTTTTGTTGGTTTTATTTTAATAAAAAAGCCTACAGGGCCAGGAAAAGAAAGCAAGTGCTTGTACTACTGCAACCATGCATCTGTCCTTAGAGATGGCTCCCCATCCTCTTGTTGTTCATTTACTCACATTAAGGAGGAAAATATTTTCTAATTTTTCTTTCTGTACAGTATTTTTTGAATTATGTATCATAAGTTATTTTAAAAAATGGAAGTGGCCCTAGTACTATGCCTTCACATTTGAAGAGTGCAGAGAGAACTGCTGTAACACTGAGCTCAGTAACTTGGGGGGGGAGGGAAGGGTGGTATCCTTCTGTGCAGGAAGGCTGTGACCCTTCCTCCAAAGTAAAAGCTTCTTGTACTGCAGCCCCTGGCTAACACTATACCCACTGGACATGATAAACACCCATCTTTTTCCTTCGTGTACCACAGCCTGGACCCGAAACATGATTTTAATGGGAACAACTCCTGAATAAGGTCATTTAAACTGGAAGAAAAAGTTTGTCCGCTATGTCTTAAGTTTAGGATCCCAAGTGCTTGCTTCCTTGTGACACAAGTACTTCAGAGGAGCTCCGCAAGAGAAGACAGTTAGGTTTTCTTGAAAATAGTTTATTGAGTGCTTGGGGAATTAAAAAGTACAAGGATTTGCTTGCAGTTGCAGAAGCAAGAAAAAAAGTTAAACATAAATTAGTTATCTGATTTGCTACTTTATAGTGCTTCCAAAACCCTCCTCTTAATCACTCATTGCCTACCCTGACCTTTATACTCATAGATCTGGCCCTTAAATGTATGTAGCAGAATATTTATAGATTAAAAAGTGCCTTTCTACGGCAGTGGGGTAATGATTATGAAAGCTGATGGAGATTTCCAGTCTTTTTAACTCTCTGGTTCTAGATCTCAGCTACACCCACTCTGGTTTTGTGACCTGGGCGACTTTATTCCATGCTCCACTGCAGGAATAAGAATTCAGTCAGTGTAAAGTAAGTCCCACTTGTCCAGAAGCTTGACTTAGATCAAATAAGGGAAAAAAAAAGCCAGACAGTGATTACTGAAGTTACTCAAAACTACATTTGCTGTGTGGAATTCCCATTCCAAGTATTGTTTTCATCTTCTCCGTCATCTTGAGTCCTCAGTCTATATATTTTGCCTTCTTTTTTGAAGTCTTCCCCCCGCTTTTCCACTACTCGTTTCCGGACCGCTTGCCTAGGGTACAAAGGACAGTGAGGTTGGAGTTCCCCCTGGCAATAACTGCATTTATTGCATTAGTCACTCCTCGTGCAAACCACACACCCTTCCTTCTCTCAGCCCCAAGAAGAGTTTGTTCAGCCCCTTGGTTCCTTGGGAAGCAATACCCCCGTGAAAATCTTTGACTGCTAAATGACAGAAGCCCCTGGCGATGCATGGCTGCCTCACGTGAACTGGCCCAGGGGAGATCTCATTCTATACACAATACTAAACCTTCACTGTCCAAATCAGGCATCAGTTCTGCCAGACAATGCTTTTTCTGCTCCATCACTGGCAGTTGAAGCAAACAGAGATCTTGCTTGACCACACAGATAACAACTGAGAAAACCCAGTCAGGGCTGCTGTGCAGTTTGCCAGCCACCAGGCTGTCCCTCTCAACCAGCTGGAAGGGTGCTGGCCAGAAGCTACAAGCAGACACAGCTCAGTTCCCCACTACAAGGTGAAAACAACTCCAGCGAGCAGTTAGAGAAAGAGCTGCCTCAAGCAGTCCCGATTACCTGCTTTGCTCGATGCTGCTGGACGCTGAAGGACTTGAGAGGTCCTGCTGGTGAGCGGATCTCACAGCAGACTGTGAGGGGGGTGGACTTGTAAACAGGAAGTTGCTAATAAATCTCCAAACCGCTAAGAGGGGATAAAGTATGGTGCCCAAGAACTTCCACAGGTCACCGCCGGACGCCTGAACGACAGAAGTAGCAGGTCTTCCCGCCTGGGTGTGAACACAGAAAGGAAACTTGTCAGATGTGAAAGTCATGCTCTGGGAGGCAGCCTATCTCATCCACAATTTCGAAGCAGCTCAGCAGGCACAAGAGAACTCCTCTGGCTACACATTAGGCAAATCTCTATAACACCACCATTTATCTGCTTCAGAAAAAACAATCCTCCTCCACATCAGTCCTGACAAAAATTAAGGTTAATTTTGCGACCTGTCTTAGACACAACACCCCCCCAAATTCAAGCCAAATATTACCATGCCCAACTAAAGCAGCTATACAGCTACAGTATTGCTGTTTGCAAGGAAATGAAAAGCAAACGGACCAGAAACCAACACCTACTGGCAGCAACACTACGGAAGCGCTGGGTGCTAACTCTAGGTCCAGTAACTTCTTGCCATAATCTTCTTTGGTAAACTCCCTCCTGGGAAACATCGTCGCCAGCGAAAAGTTGCCGTAAGTGTTACCAACCGTCTGCGAAAATACAAAGAAAACATTTTATTTCTAACCGTTCCCTTCCAAACAACTGCAGATTCAGCAGCTGCGGGTACCTTGCCACTGACCCAGGAGTTCCATGTCAAACTATCAATCAGCCTCAGACAAATGAAGGATTTTTCACCTCCTACTATCTCCTACTAACGACAGGCTGCAGGAGCACAAAGGCAGTTCGCAGCCCTGGAAAAGGCTGCTACCAAAACCCCCCTCAAGTAAACAAAAAGGAAAGCAGCTGAGGACAATTCCACCTGGACCCACAACTAGTTAATGCCACACCAAGCTGGAATCAGCACATAGCTATGAAAACGAAACACTGATTTACCTGTGCAGCAAACTGCCTCGCTTCCTCCAGTCGTGCTTCAGATGGGAACTGGTTAGTAAAGGAGGAGCCATCTGGGAGGCGGAACTGGATCCTGGCTATTGCACTGCAGGACACGTATCAGGGTCAGTCAGCATATGAACAGTTACAGACGACTCCTGGGGCTTTAGCTTGGGAGTACTGAGCCGTGGAAGAGAGGGACAGTCATCCCACTCATGGCAGTGCAGATGGATCAGAACTTTGGATCCGCTGCTAACCATCTGCTTATATATCACAACGCGTCTCCTGTGGTTTTTATCAGAGTCCAAGACCCATCACCATTCAAACAAGGTATTGACATCCATCATGCAAAAAAATGAGCAAAACAATGAAACACAAACCTTATTTCTTTTGCCTAGCCTCTATGACTTTTGTTCTTTTTTATCTAGCAGTACTATGAGGGCTGGCTTGGCAAGAAATTCTATATTCAGCTACCTGTGACCCAGGATTGAGCTTCAACACCTACACAGGCTGCTACTCCCCTAGCTGCCCTCTGTTCAGGGGCAGTACTAGTCGTACCGTGGCTCTGTAACTCCAGGCAAGGTCTCCACAGGTTAGAGTTTTTCTCAAAACAGCCGTGTTGGGCAAAGCAGGAGACAGCTCTGACCCAGGCAGCTGATGAGCCCAGTCGAGCCTTGCAGAATCCAAGCCAGTCACCCACAGCCAGCCGGGTCGGCACCATGCTCCCCAGCGCAGTCCTGACCTTCTCTCGCCCTCTCTATCGCGTCCTGACCGTACCTAGTTCCCCACCTAGCCCCGTTATACGTGGTATGTAAATCCAAGATCAGACAGAAAAAGCACTTAACTACAATAACACAGAAGGAAAAGTGGTTAGTGTTTCATAATCAGGAATGTCAAACCTATGGAAGTTATCAGAGAACATAATATTCATGCCAATAGTTACCAATATATACTATAAAAGAAAGCCACTTTTATAGGTCATTATTGAAATAGTTCAATATGGCATCAATGAATAGATGAGGAGATATATTATCTCTCTTAAAAGTGTAGGTTTCTTTACCTCTCTCCTCAGAAATACACCCTACAGCAACTCACCTTCGCTCCTTTTGAGACGCTTCTTTTCTGGCCTCTATTTCAGCCTGTTTAGCCTGAAGAGCTGCAGCTTTTGCAGCTTCCGCTTCTTCCTTCGATTTTGCAAAGCGAGCTGCTCTCTCGGCACGATCCTGTGGAAGGACCAAACAGAAACCTTAATTTTTACCCCAACTCGTAGCTTCACGTTCATTAAAACAGAGCTACAAGCTGCACTCAGCACCCAACTGCCAGGCGTAAGCAGGCCATATGGAGAAAAGACAGCAGTGCTGCAAAGCACGATTCCCTGCCAAACCACACCATCTCTTGTCATTAGCCAAGATGACACGTTCAGTGAGTCACTTCCTGCAAGCAGCTGTTAGCAGATGACCTTCCCGTGCATGTTTAACCCTCCAGTGAACACAAGGAAAAATCTTACGACAAGCTACACGATGCCAGTCCCAAGTGTTCTAGGCCAAAACCCAATAGAAGGAGGGATTTCCGTTGTTACAAACCATGTACATCCATATATGTACACACATACATACAAGCTCAGAAAATAATCCTCACCACCATTGAGATCACTGTTCTTCTGCATGTCCCACACTTAACTATTCCCTGTGCTTCTCTTCCAGAACTATGCTTAAACTGCAATTATATTTATGTCTGAATGATAACTCTCCACTGGCCTCAATACCACCACCAAGTTGGTATGTTCATTCGGACAGAAAAGACCACGATGACTATGAAAGCAGAAGCTTCATTTTACACGCAGCAAACCTAACAATTGTATGCTTTTGGGTTTTAAGTAGCAATCCAAGGCCACAGGATTCCCAACAGAAAAACGGACAATTTTTCTAAGTTGCACCAAATGAGAAAATTGGTCCTTCTAGCAGACTGGTGGCCCTCGCGAGAGAGCAGCAGCAAGCTGTCCTCTAAACCGCAGAATTTACCAGCGCAATCTGTTGTCTGATCCGCTCTCTGGCCGCCCTCTCTTCTGCCTTTTCCCTGTTCCTTTCCTCTAACAGGCGTTTGGTCAGTTCTTCTTCCTGTCGTCTTTTGTACTCCAACATTTCTTTACCCGTTTTCCTCCGTTCAATTTCTTTCTTAATTTCTTTCTGAATAAAGAACAGAAACACACACATCAGACCACAAAACTGCCTCAGACAGGAGTGAGGCAACACTGAAATACGTTGGTTTAAAAAGGAGTTAAGCATTCACTCAAATAAGGGGATAAGGTAGACAAAAAGCTGAACATGAGCCGGCCGTGTGCGCTGGCAGCCCAGAAGGCCAACCGTATCCTGGGCTGTATCCAGAGAAGTGTGGCCAGCAGGTCGAGGGAGGGGATTCTGCCCCTCTACTCTGCTCTGGTGAGACCCCACCTGGAGTGCTGCATCCAGCTGTGGAGCCTCAACATCAGTAGGATATGGACCTGTTGGAACGTGTCCAGGGGAAGCCACGAAGATGCTCCGAGGGCTGGAGCCCCTCTGCTATGGGGACAGGCTGAGAGAGTTGGGCTTGTTCAGCCTGGAGGAGAGAAGGCTCCGGGGAGACCTTATTGCACCTTCCCGTACCTGAAGGGGCTACAAGGAAGCTGGGGGGGACTTTTTACAAGGGTCTGTAGTGGCAGGACAAGGGGTAATGGGTTTAAATTGAAAGTGGGGAGGTTTAGATTGGATATCAGGAAGAAGTTCTTCCCGGAGAGGGTGGTGAGGCACTGGCACAGGTTGCCCAGAGAAGCTGTGGATGCCCCAGCCCTGGATGTCTTCAAGGCCAGGCTGGATGAGGCTTTGAGCAACCTGGTCTAGTGGAAGGTGTCCCTGCCCATGGCAGGGGGGGTGGAACTAGAGGATCTTTAAGGGCCCTTCCAACCCAAACCATTCTGGGATTCTATAAAAAAAATGGCAAGCGGTTTTACATTTGCATTACCTGTTCTTCTTCTTTCCTTTTCTCTTCCCGTCTTTCTTCAAGCTTTTTTGTTATTCTAAATATAAGGATGAAGTGAAAAGTCTTAGAATCGCAGCATCTATTATTAAGTTTTAAAACACTTGCAGAAGCATTTGCACACGCTTGCAGAAGAAGGGAACACGTGACAATGACAGTGACACATACACCACCAAGTTTCCAACTCTTAACTGAGTTCCAACATACTCCTTCTGTCCTTTTCCACTCAGTAAGTGAAGAATCTTACATATTCTTCCTTTGAAGTAACTTGTAAGACTACAATAAGCAATAATATTTATGCTCTACGGGGAACAGAAACACTAAATCTCAATCTCTTCTTAACTATGAAGTCATCTGGTTTTTCTGCACATCACTCCCTAAAATGGAAAGCAATTCATGTCTAGCACTGACATAGATGCTCATAGATGCTCATCTGTCTCATCTATCCAGAAGGGTGCCTTAGAATAAGCCCAAAAACCCCACAACCCACATAACATAGCAATTTACAACATATTTTAGATTTAGAGAGAGGGCAGGAATGACCGAACAGCATCGGATAATCAGAAAAATTTTGTTTGTATGGTATCCATTTTCCTTTTTAACACTAAACCACTAATTACCACAGAGCTTTGTCTCTTCCTCCCCCCCCCACCCCAAAGAAACACATGCAAATACAGCATAGTTTGTCTACAGCAAGATCAATGCAAAATTAGAAAATTTTTGTATTTATAGTAAAATACTGGCTGTATTTTCTTATGATTTGTTCTTATCAATTAAAACATGACATCAGTAGTAAGTAAAAATTATACTTATTGTTCAACACCTTTCAGAGAAAACAAATTAAACGTCAAAAAGTTAAAAAATGTATTTTGGCAGTATAAAGAATCCTATTTATTATGTGCTGGTTTGGGTAGAGTATCACAGATAGCATTAGTCTTACAGATTCTAAAAAAACATTTTACACCCTAAATCTTGTACTTAAAACCAACCTATTTAATGAACAAACCATGTACTGAACCAGATGCTTCTGGTCACTATACTTAAGATACCAGCACTTGCATCGCTCAGACCTCGTTACGGCTCACTGATCAAAAGAGGAGTCTCAGAATAGGATTCCTCTGGCTTTTTCAATACGCCTAGACTACAGAGAGTCATCAGACAGACAAGAAAAAGAAATAAGGTGGCATGTCTGTACAGAATCTAGGTTAGCACTTTATTACCTCAGTTTCAAGTGTTTTCAGTTCAATGTTTTAACTCCTTCAGAAATTTTGCAGCAAACACTGTCTCTATTCAGGTTATATTATCAGGAGAACATTTTTATTTTTCCAGGCTATCCTTTTCTTTCAGAGTATGTGAAAAATGACATTAATTGAAAAGCTGGTTTTCTATCAGCCCTAGCATTGTCGCAGACATCTGAACAAAAACCAGCCCACGTAAACGTTCGCCAGATAACACCAAAATAAGTACCAGAAATTCTGTAATTAAGCCTGTTTATCCAAGAACCCCCGCCCACCCCAACAAAACTGCCTTCTGAGAAACAAAGGCAATACATTAGGAAGTCAGCAGAAGACGACTTACCTTTCTACTCTGAGTGTAAGATCATTCACAGGCTGAGCATCACTCACTTGCTCACCTGAAGAATTAGTTGCTTCCTGGCTTGCCTGACCTGAATTTGCTCCATCTTCACATGGTTTAAAAGAAAGCAATGCATCAGAGAAAAATGTGTATTTCTTATCATTAAAAAATTATGTTTAGTATTATTGGCCAGAATTTGCAACAACTAGTGTATCTCAAGGAGATAGGAGGTTCTGCTATTCAGACTTGCCCCACCCCCAACAATTTGCTTTCAGGCTACTAACCCAAAGAAGTTTTTTAGATTTAATCCTATGTAAAGAAAGCGTACACAATTTTTATTGTATCATGACCCATAGGTTTCTCACTCATTGAAACGGAGCAGAATGGCAAGTTGTTCTTTCCTCTAGCCTTGCAAGAAGCATTCTGGGATACCCAAGTTTTTCTTCAACGAGTCCACTCAATATACCATCAGGTCACAACTTCCAAAAAGGAGAACAGTTTTGATAGCAAGTCAGCGAGCGTTTGTGTGAAAGCACTAACCATTGCCAGCGGAAGGTCTTATCGTCTCAGACAGAGAGTCACCAAACTCCACTGTTCCGGACGGCGTATTTTCCGGAGCACCATCAGATTGAGAGGAGGGACAAGGAGCAGGTGACGGACTTCCATTTTCCAAAGGCTGCCCTTTCACTGTGTGCATCTAAGAAATTTGGGGGAAAAACACCACACAACACACCTATGAAACTTTGACTATTTTCCACACTTTCAATGACTTTTTATGTCATTCCAGTTTAGAGTTCCTGACACATTCCTTCAATACTGTGGCTGTTACGCAGGTGATCTGAAACAATCCGTGAAAGCAGTGTGCTTTCCAGCCCGTTCAACTTGTGTACTGGGTTTAGTTTTGCGGATTTTGTTGTCGGAAGGCTACAGAACCGATAATTCCTACTTCCCCATGACACGTGCTAAGGGCCAGGGAGATCTCGTCTTGAGCGTGTGAGCACACCCGCCTCAATCGGAAAGATCCAGTCTGTCAGCTAGCATTACCTGCTTAACTTTGTGGATTCTGGTAACGAGCTCCTCAACAGAAACACTGCCAGCAATTACTTCCAAAGGGATTCCATTGTCTCCTATAAAAAAACTGGATGGAACGCACACGACAGGATCTGCACAGCAACAGTTAAGGGCAGAACACGACAAAAGATTCTAAACTAACTTCCAAAGGAAAAGCAGAAGTCCTTCCTACAGAACCTTCAAGCCCAATATTCGATCGCCATCTAGTTGCCAGTAGTCAGTGCCAAGGGAGGAAGGAAAAAAGATGCTAACAAAAATGCTGGAAAACATCACATACACTGACCAGTTTTACTTCTTTTCTTTGAAACGGTTTAAGCCAAAATATTTCTCTCCAACAAACACACTCATACTCAACAATCGAGTATGCTTTGACTTCAAAGATTTTGTTCTAGTTTGAGACAACGTCTTATCTAGACACTAATGAATTCTTTACAGCATTAAGAAAATCCAGGCACTGGGTTCCCTTTCTCAGCATCATACAGAATGCCCGAGCTGTGAACAGCGACCTCTTTAAGGCAGGCAGATGTTTTCCCACCTCCATACCTGTGGATCTGACAGCTGTTCACCTTCTCCAAGAGCTGACAGTAAGTTGGACACATAGATGGTATCTTTCAACCACACAGTTCATGGCTTATTTTTGTGCCTACATTTTTAAGAATGTAGCTTGTAAATATTTGTCTTAAGGACAGTATTAATTTGTAAAGAGCAATTGTCTGTAATCACAATGCAGCATCTAAACTGATCTCAAAGGATACAAATTTGAGAAAACTGCAGGCATGCTTCACTGTTTAAAAGAAAGGATTCGTTTAAGAGGAGCAATCACTTTGCAACAACAGCAGATTAAGTCTTTCATCATAAAAATAACCATCCTGCCACACACTAAGCTATTTAAATACTTGAGAGAGCACTAAAAGCAAGTTTGCACTGCATCTTCTCATTAACATTTTGCACAAGTGTCGACAGGGTGACAATGCCTGGTTGTCACCATCGACTAGATAAGATTAGGGAAACGGGGCTAAGCAGCAATTCAGGAAAAAAAGACTTTGAGTCTATTGAGTGCAAATAATATAGTCAGTCTAATAAAATGTCTATAAAGCATTTCACAATACCACCATTTTTGGAAATGTCCACGCACTTTCTGCACATGGAAGTGTGAAGAACTGGAAGACTTACACGTAACAAAAACAGCTGAGTAATTTACCCAGTAGCTCCAGTGCTTCTCTATTGTGTGTGCCACAACACACACACACATTTTTCTCCAGGGCTTTACAGATTATTCTCTTTCTGAATTCACTGGAGTTTTGAAATTTGTCATGTAAGCTGACAAATCAAGAACTGCCCCGAGCGTACGTGCCTTTAGATTCCAGCTTTTTTACGTAACTTTTGTAGCTCTTCCTGTTGAAAAAGGGCAACCTCAAGCATTCTCCTACCAGTAATGCAATACAGGCTGAAATACGCAATGAATATTCTGCAGAACACAACAGTCAAATTGGGATTTTCTCAGGCTCTAGTGGCTTCAGGAGCCCTGAATTCATTTATGTGCTGGAACCTTGTATTCAGACTACCTTCCAGATCAGCCTCTCTCTCATCACTGACAACGAAAGATTGCATAAGAAACAGGATTAGAACAGATTCAAACCTTTTGGTGTCGATTTTAATAGCAACAAAACCATCTGAGGCAGCTTCAGTCACCTTCTCATCTTCCCACCGTGCAGCCATCTCGGTAGATTGTTCATCCTCACCTGAAAAGACACAGCACGCACGTGAGGCCAAACACACCACAAATTACTGCCTCTGGTCTCATTTTAGCTTTGCTTTAATTGCTTGAAATCACCTGTGAAAGACTTGTGATTGCTTTAACCTTTGAAAGACACCCTCGTGATTACTTTCAACTCGGTTTATAATTTTTTTAATAATCAGTTCACTCCAGCTGACTCACCTTGCTAACATGCCAAAAACCTAATATGCCAAAACCCCTCCAGGGCAGCAAGGATGCAGCTTTCAGAGACATCCAACTACACGGGAGGTTGGTCCAAGGGGGCAGAAGGGACTGGACCGCACAGATGGAACAGGGACAGAGGAACTGGAGGTGATGGCGAGTCTCAAGATTGGCTTGATTGCATCATCTAATTGCACAAACCCTGAAAAGCCACGTTTTCCTGTTACAGGGAGCATGCTTGTGCTTACAGCCTCATAATACGCAAGCAGATCCCGCAGCACGGTCAGAGTGAACCTATGCTTCTCCTTGACACCAAGCTTGAGCTGCTAACATGCTAACACTATCCACTGCGTACCCCTCATTATAAGTTTAATTACTTATTGGCACACAAGCTGCTAATCGGTGAAACTGTATTTTCCACTCCTTGGAAACAGATAATTCAGCACACAAGGTTTCACAGCTTGATGGTGTTAAAAAAACCCCACAAACTAAAAAAACACTTATTTGCAGGATTACTTGTAACTTAGTTTTGTATTTGCATTCCTGACATGGACAGTAACAGGAAGAGGGAGGAAAAGGTGCGAGGAGCACAGAGGAACAAGAGTAACAGTAGAAGAGGAGCTACTCAAGTAAGGGGCACCACAAAGGTGCCCTGGGGCCACAGAGGCAGAAGTGTTATTTTAATCAGATGAAACCACGTCAACCATATATTTATCTCCCAAAGCACCGCGTTAGTGAGGATGGGGGTTAATATGTAGATGCCGATGAGTATTAACCATCTTCCAGCAAGTAAATCAGCCTGCAGGCATTTGTTTAGCTTCAATCTGTACTCCTTCCTAGCAGCTTGGAATCGACTGTACTCCTGACGAAGAACTGGAGTCACAAGTGTGGGAGCAGAGTAGCCCATTATTCAGTGACAACAAACCATTTGTTTGTTCCATCCCAGCTGCCATTTCACACACTGTTTTACTCGTTAAAGACCAGGAGTTGGACGTGGAGTCCTCTGGTGAAACACGGCTGCCTCAAGGCCACAATGCTTCTCAGAGACACGTCTCAAAAACACACGGATTGAGGCACAGCCTTTACCAACCATACGCACTGATTTTTCCCTGCAAGTGTCAGAGCAAGTAAGAAAGCTTTCATCTCTATTACTGTTACTCTACCCCAAATACATATTTAGGATGTTTAATGTAGGAACCCTTCCCCTCCCTGCAAGTGCAGTGCTTCCAACAGTGGTCAGTGGATGCAGCTGTTCTGCTGAGAGCCTTTCGACCTTCTCCCCCATTTCCAAATGCCCAGAGACAGTTGCTTCCCCACACATACTTTTTCAGAAGGACATGTGCTCATCCGATTAGGCTACTAAAAATATCTAAATACTTGCCTCACACTAACTTTTCCATCCAAACAACTACTGTAGGAAAAAAAAGAATGCTGAAAGAGACAAACAGGACAGAGACTGCTCACAGTACAGCTCGAGGGATGTGACCCGTGAAGGAAAACGCTGATAACTCACATTTTATAAAGCTCTGTGCTATGAGGCACCGTTTAATATTGTGGCTGTGCACAGAACTGTCGCTTACTCTTGTACATACTCCAGTTTTGATAACCCTTTCTCCCTTGCGGATTAATTTACTACAGTTTTGTAGTAATTATACCCTGAAATGAAAACTGTCGGTCGCAGGAAAATCATCAGAAAAGTCAAAGGGTTAAGCTGAACAGACCTTGACATAATTCTGCTAAACACAGAGCTATCACAACTGCCTCAGAATTCCAGTTCTCTCGGATTTCTTCTGCTTCTCAAACAAAATTGCTTCATTTCACTTTGTGGCAGTCTGTACATAATTCTCAGTCACACTTGTGAATCTCTTTGGTCAGATAAATTTAGATTATCTGTACAGGGAAAACATACCCATCATTCCTCAAGTGATCCAGGTAACTGGAAGAGACTCTGCAGCGATATACAACGTGTATGAGGAACTCAGTCAAAACCATCACAGGTTGTCAAAGGACTTCAACTCCCCTATTCCTCAGCAGACAGTCATCAGGGAAAAGTGATGTCCTTCCAAGAAGGGAGCTGACTCCAGGTACCTTCTCAATAGCCAACATAACTACTCAGGAGGAGCAAGGACTGACACTCCAGCAATGACTGAAAGCCAGGACACCGAGCTGTTCACCTCCTTCCTGCCAGTTCAGGTATTTAACTTGAAGAGTGCTTTGATACAGCTCAGACACAAAACACTAACCAACGGCTTGCTGATGTCAAATCAGCGTTTTGTAAAAGAAACAATTAACCTAAAAGGGTTATGAACAAAGGAAGGAGAGTTTCTACAAAGTTTCTAAAAAGAAATACCAAAATTCATCTTGAAAAACACTGAACTAGAAATGTTAGGATTATAGCTGCAAACAAAACCACTGAAGAAAAACGCCTGGTTGAACAACACGGAATTGCAGTCACAAACACCACCTCATTGTTAAGATAAACAGCCACATTATTCCTTGCTTGACTGGGAAAATATTCTAGATTCAGAAAGAATAATCCAGTTCTTCATTTTCCAGTGCTTGTTTAGAGAAGTGCAGTGAAGAGGGAGAGAGGGACAGACAGGTGGTAGCAGAAACCAAACCGGATGGACCTGCTGGAATCCAGTAGTTTTTGTCGAGGCTGTATCTCATAGCTATCCTCCCCAGTGGCCTCCCTAAAATTACAGTTCATTTGGATTTGCCGTGTCTCTAATTCTTCCCCTTTATTTTTTTCCCCCCATATATATTATGGAACCAAGTGTACAAAACCAAGCCATTAGACACTTCAAAACGCATGTTTTCCTCCTCAAAAAGCTGCTTTCCAACGCCTGTCCCTGATGTCTGTGGGCAAGTGTGTAGCGTGAAGACTCCAGGCTACCATCACCACCAGTGTGCACTTTAAACGTGGATCTACCCACACAACAGACCCAGTCACCGCCAGCATACAACCCGACGATTCTTCCCACACTCGGCATCCTTCAAACACACCTGCTTCCTCACATGGTGAGAAGGCGTCTCCTTGGGCTTCCCAATTCCCTTTCCCGGCAGGCATCGGACAACTGCTCCGCATCCAGCTGTCACGGATCTGCTGCCCTGATCCCACTGTTCCTTAGGTAGATCAGGACCAGGCAGAACTCTCCTACACTTTCATTTTGGAGATATGGCCACCCTAAGGTGCGCTCTCAGTTTTTCAGGACTCGTAAGAACAAACAACAAACCCTTATCACATACTATGACATCCAAACTAGGTTACATTCCTGCAATCAGAAATTTATCCCCCTTCTGTGTATCTACATATTCCCACCCCCACCTAGTCAACATTAACATCTAAAAGAAAAGGCCAGTTTTGTTTACAGCTTCCGAAAACATACTGGAAATAAGTTACAGCATGCACTTCTCCACCCCTCACACATACGTATCAAGTTCCGAGTACTAACAGGTGCTGAATTACTACTAGAAAAGCTTTGTGGTGGGTTGACCCTGGTAGGAGGCCAGGTACCCCCAAAGCCACTCTGTCGCTGCCCTCCTCAGCTAGGCAGGGGAGAGAACACGTAACAGATGGCTCATGGGTTGAGACAAGGACGGGGATCACTTGAGGGATCACTCAGCAATTGCCATCACGGGCAAAACAGACTCGGGCAAATCAGTTTAAGTTATTACCAATCAAACAGCAGAAGAGAACTAAAACCAAATCTTAAGACACCTTCCCCCCACCCCTCCCTTCTTCCCGGGCTCAGCTTTGCTCCCCATTTCTCTCCCTCCTCCCCCCAAGCAGCTCAAGGGTACAGGGAACAGGGGTTGGGGTCAATCCATCACACATTGTCTCTGCTGCTCCTTCCTCCTCAGGAGAGGATCCTCACACTCTGCCCCTGCTCCAGCGTGGGGTCCCTCCCACGGGAAACGGTCCTCCAGGGATTTCTCCAACCTGCG